AAAAACGTTACCTCATATCCACAATAAAACAAAGCAATATCCGGGAAAACACAATTAAGGAAGTGTATAAACTTATAAAACGAGAAATACAGCACAAGTTAAATTCATTTTTCGGTTTTCTAGTAATTCGTCAGACCCCTGCAGTGGCGTGATGTTGCAGGATTTTGTAACTGCAGAATCTTTCTCTGACAGAATTAAAGTTTTGATCGTGTTGCAATATCCCAATTTTTTCTGTCAGAAGTAAAGTTCAAATTTTCCGGCTTTACTGGAGAAAATGAAATTAAAATCGTACAGGATATCAAATTCTTCTCGATTCTGTTCATGTTTATAATGGTATTTACTATTTCTTTTAATCCCATTTGCCATCTGCTGATCCCGAATGAGCTGATCGTACGCACCAAACAGCGAGTATAATTGAACTCCATGCTTGATTATGTATTGACTTTTTGAATTGCACGTTGCTTTTGACTTTTGTCTGTTTGTAAATGCATATTGTAAAGAAGTTAACCTGCCTTGTCACCAGAAGAATACATTGATCCAACAGGAACTAGGAGCCCAACATAATAACACGATAATTGACTATCCGGAGAAAAGTACAGCATGATACGATTATGTATGATTCATGATTGAATCTGGAGTTTAACAATCGTTATCGGCCGTGTCCGGGTATGTAATGGTTGTTTACTCCGACCTATATAACATCACACCAACATCCTCACACTATTAGTTCACTAAGTTCAGCGGGGCTCCTCATTATTTATAAAACTTATACTACAAAGTAAGGCACCAAACAGAATTGTCTCCGACCTATATATTATATAAGTATATAACTATATAACATCTTCTTCTTCGTAGGGGGCTGTGGTCATTATCACTAATGGAAAGATCGTGACCACTGTAAGATAGAACATTGGAGCCCTGTGCTTACCCCGGTAAAAATTAATTAGTCGAGAAAAAAAGTTAAACTTTGTTTTCTCCGCATTTAGTAAATCGTTTTGTTGCTTGTATGAAGCCGATGATCCTTGGTAGTGAGAACTTGTCCACTATGTCTGTCACACTAAGATAGAAGGAATCTAAGTATCCTCCTCGTTGGTAAGACCATTTCGGGCACTGACCAATAAAGTGGTTCATTGTATCCTCTTCCATAAGACAATATGGACAAGTTTTGGGGACCGTTGTCGGCTTGAACTTATTAATGTGGTAGTTTAGTTCACAATGTCCAGTAAGGAATTGTGTCGCTGTTCTTGTGCTCTCTTTGCCAAGTTTCGGGATTGATCGGGCGAACTATTATGTCTCCATACTCGTTTGAAGTGAGTGTTGGGCAACGTTCTCCATCTTTCCCTCATTTTCCGATAACTTATACTCCGCAAGGCTCCCTTCCATAATACTTTTGGTATTGGTAGTAGCACTTGGGCGGAGTCCAATTTATCAGAGCCTTTTTTGGCAAGAGAGTCTGCCTTTTCGTTACCATCATAGCCTTTATGAGCTGGTATCCATCGTAGTAGGACTTGATTGTCCATTGCTAGTTGGTTCAGCCCACTTATTGCTGTGCTGGTGCTTTTTGATTTGACTTTGATATTGCTCATTCCCATTATTGTCGCCTGGCTATCACAGTTTATGATGATTTTTCTAGTTTTGGTTCCAGATTCTCGTAGTATTTTTGCCGCTGTGCCTACGGCAAAGATATCGGCCTGGAAGACAGTTGAGTTGGTTCCTAGGTGGTAGGACTCCTCGCGTGGAGGGGTGTCGTTATCCACAATGTACACTCCTGCTCCAACTTGTTCATTCATTTTGGAGCCATCTGTGTAGCATTGTATGGTGTTGGTATCGTTCTCGATTTCCTCATACTCTGAGAGGTCTAAAACCAATGTCAACATTCAGTGATGTAGTCTGTTGATCTTGTCCTTCAGAATTGAGAATGATAGCCTTTAGTAACTGTTCGTTAAAGTTTTGTGCTATCGAGTGCTACTCCTAGAAACTTAGTTGAATTACGCATGCTCATTTCAGTTCCGTTCACTGTTAGAGGTTCTGAGAATTCTCATTTCCTCCTCCAGGTGAACATTACTGTATGTGTTTTTAGTGTACTTAGCTTCAGCCCGTTATCGGTGCACCAGTTCATGATGGTTTCAAGACTTTTCTGCGTCATCTCTCTGAGATGATCGGCATCAAAGCCCTGGTTTCCGCATTTTTCCGGTCCCTCCAACGTGGCTATAAATATAATAATTCAAAATCGTCCGCGAACCCTTGCAGGTCACATGGGATCTTGTCTTTGGTGTACGACAAGAGACTGTCAACTACCAGGTTCTATAAGAATGGAGACAGGATCCCACCTTGTGGACATCCTTTTCTTATAACAATGGATTTCCTGCACCCGTTTAGTTCCACGTTCGTGGTTCTATTGCGGAGTAGAGACATAATCCATTTGTTGACTGAAGACGACTCACATTTCCGGTCCAGGGCCTTCTCTATAGACTTGAATGCTACATTGTCGAAGGCCCCTTCGACATCTAAGAAAGTTCCTAGAGCCATACCGGAGCTTATGATTGTCCATTCTATTTTGTGTACTACTTTGTGTAGAGCTGTCTCAGTTGAGGTACCTTTGACAAAACCGTATTGTTTTTTATTAAGTTCTGAGTATATCTTAAGGTCTTCCTCCATGTGCCACAACACTATACGTTCCATCCACTTGAGTGGTACTAGAGCTTGAGTAATGGTTCTGTAGGATTTAGGGTTATAATAGTCAGTATATAACATCACACCAACATCCTCACACTATTAGTTCACTAAGTTCAGCGGGGATCCTCATTACTTATAAAACTTATACTACAAAGTATAAGGCATCAAACAGTATTGTATAACCATTATGTTACTTATCTTACTTTTGAGTTACGCTATGCTACGTCAATGAGTAATGAGTATGACGTCATCATTATCTACCATCCTCCTATTTTCCTATCTTATACTACAAAGTCTATACTACAAATCACTAAGTGCAGCAGGCTCCTTACTACTTTACTAACTCTATTAGTCCTACGTTATAACTTTATAACGTATTGATCCTCTTATACTAATTTGGAAGGCACCAAAGAGTATCGTATATATCGTCACTAGTCTCAATTATCTTACTTTTGAGTTTTGGCTGAGCATATCCACTGGTTACTATGGTTACTACACTGTGTCCTAGGGATCCTAAGAGCTAACTAACCTGTACAGTGCGTCTCCTGCTCTACCTACTTTACCTACTTTACCTACTTTACCTACTTTACCTACTTTACCTACTTTACCTACTTTACCTACTTTACATACTTTACCTACTTTACCTACTTTACCTACTTTACCTACTTTACCTACTTTACCTACTTTACCTACTTTACCTACTTTACCTACTTTACCTACTTTACCTACTTTACCTACTTTACCTACTTTACCTACTTTACCTACTTTACCTACTTTACTTACTTTACCTACTTTACCTACTTTACTTACTTTACCTACTTTACCTACTTTACCTACTTTACCTACTTTACCTACTTAACCTACTTTACCTACTTTACCTACTTTACCTACTTTACCTACTTTACCTACTTCACCTACTTTACCTACTTTACCTACTTTACCTACTTTACCTACTTTACCTACTTTACCTACTTTACCTACTTTACCTACTTTACCTACTTTATCTACTTTACCTACTTTACCTACTTTACCTACTTTACCTACTTTACCTACTTTACCTACTTTACCTACTTTACCTACTTTACCTACTTTACCTACTTTACCTACTTTACCTACTTTACCTACTTTACCTACTTTACCTACTTTACCTACTTTACCTCTCACTGTACTCTTTGGTTATCCATATTAGGGATGTCCTGTGTATGATAAATAGGAGTAGCATGGTGAGTGATATCACCATCACTCACCAGTCACCATGTTACGTCAATGAGTATGACGTATCTGCTATCATTATCAACCATTTGCCTATTTGCCTGCAATTTACAGGCGATTAATAATCCATTTGCAAGCTTCATATTATATATTTTACTCATAGAATATGTAATCCTTGGGTTTATTTTACCTAAAATGGTCTTCAGTGTCCTGCGCGTACTACATTCATAAAGTAAGATAAACTTAGCTTGAAAAGATCTTTCATAATTGTTTAATATTCATATTTTTCTGACAAGCAAATATTCTTGATAACTTGCCCCTCCGCCCCCTAAATCCTACCACTATCTGTGAATCTAGTAACCGAAAACCATTTTCTTTAGTTATTGTCGTTTTTTCTTTGCTGTGGATAATTTTCTAGTAAAAATCGGAAGAAGTGTCACGTTCACTTTCTTCCATATCGGAATTATATTATTGTTATCAAGCCAAACCATGACATTGCAGTTGCTATGAAACCGTTCAAGCATTGAAATGCGTCGTGACCTTGATATTGTTGGTATTTTTGGTTTGAAACAATCTCCATCGCCACTTATAATTATATGAAGTTTTAATTCAATCGGAGCACGAGAGCTTCTTATAACCCCTCAAGGAAGATATAACCTTGATAGCCAAAAAAGAAGAAAAGTGGGTGATTTTAGTATCGCATTACCAGGGAGCCGATAACAACACTACATTTCATAAAAGATAATGTTTGCTTCATTTTGTTTTTTAACACCTGTTCAAGACTGTGGCTAGTGTTTCATTATGATTAATGGGTCATGATTCATAGATACCGGCGATAATTTGAGAAAATTAATGACGGTCATTTTCAATACGTTCAATGTTCGTTCCTGTTTAACTGAATTACGGTTAAATCGAGATTCTGAAAAGTATGTAATTTGCTAATTGAACAAAAGTCGTGATAACAGCCTTGGGTTAACTGGGGAATGTGATTATCTTACTATAGAATATTATAGCGGGTTAATTTATGACTGGGAAAATTAATGACCGGGAAAAATATGGCGGAATTTTCCAAAACCCACCACTTTATCCCAGTCATAATATTCCCGAGTAAGGTAATTGTTTCCGCTTAATTGAATGTTATATCACCAAATGTTAACCAGTCTGTGAGAATTACTATTAGTTGATAGATCTTAACTATATAAATTATGGCGAATTTCCACCATGGTTATTCAAACCCTCAATCGAATTTTACTTTCCCCATTTTTGATGCGTAACTTTTTGATGTGCATTTCAGCTTCAATTCGATCGAAATTAATCCTATTTCGTCGGAACACTGACTCCAGCACGTAAACCGGGAGCAATTGCGTGAAATTTAATCATCTCCGCTGCTGAATAGACCATTGGTTATTGAGCTGCAGTTCACCGGAGCAGGCCCTCTCTTGCCAAGGACAGCCCTCAAGACCTTAGCAAGTAATATCTAGCGTATATCTTGTAAGAATGTTTGGCAGATGTGTTCAGCGATTTTATTATCCATTTAAGCGTTCAGAGTCGTATTTCTAATTTTGATCTTCTTTCTTTTTTATTGTTGTTTTTTTTTTCTATTGTTCGAATATTAGGAAAAGATAATTTGACACCATTAATACCGTTGTCCCAAGTACAATAAATTTTAATCAGAAATTCAGTGTTTTTGTAATATGTGAAGTGTGAATGATCCTTCATAGATACAATTAACTGCGTATTCGAAAGGGTGTCAAATAGTTGCTCATGTTTCAAGATTAATAGTTATATCGGTTCAGCGGGGCATAATATTCGATTATTGTACCTTTATACCCATTTTACTTGTTCTAAACACCTCTCCAATGATCAGAAGCGCTGTGAAACTTTCTGGGCCAACATACAGGAGCTTTCAGGTCCTTTAATTATCTGGCTTATTCGTATAAACACTAAACAGTCAGGGACTTACTTACAGTCACATTATTTACAATATTCTATGATTTGACTCCTTCACAAAATTAGCACTTTATAAACACTGTGATGTGGGGGAGGTTGCAGCTTTAAATCATGACAATTAGCTTAATTATGTAACTTTCCTTGGTGTCAATTATGTAACTATATTATTATACAATCGTACAACTGATGCGTTTCTAGCGAATCCCCCAACAAGTTTCCTGTTAACAGGCACAATGGCCACCAGTAGAGTAGACAACATCAAACCTCTCGACATTAAGAGACTCAATGTGCGCAACAATCACCATACAATGGAAACCGATAAGAAAGTCGAAGAAATGAGGTGAGAACTTTTTCCTGTATGTCCCCTAATCTCGGTGAATTGATTCATCAAGATAATGAATTCAAAAAATTAAACAGAGGAATTGTAGTGCCGGTTGATCAAATTAGGTTTACATATAACAATCTTGAGGTCCAATACCATCACCTCTTTGATAACCAAGATTCTAAATTTCGAGGTCATCTTTCGGACCCTTTTCTTTCAGTACCATCCGTACCGCCAAAGTTTCTTGTGTGCACCCTCCGGCTTTGTTTGATTTTATCTACACTCACTTTGATGATCGTTAGGTACTCCTAAGTCGTACCCGCAGGAAACTTTCTAGTGCCATTCTCCACACATACGACAGAGATATAGAGGAAATGAGAGAGAAGTTCGGCAGATTGCAGACGGTGCGGACACCAGAACCTAAATCTCGGAGAAGCCCCGAACCTGGGAAAGGTTTAGAGCCTAAACCTGTGAAAAGGCCTACTTCGCGAGCTAGCAGGTGATTTTCAGTTTTTATCGACTCTGTAATCTGTATCCTCCCACGTACAGGGTGGCCCATAAGTGACTACCCACACGCAACCTCTGAATAACTCACGTAATTCGTCTCCAAATTGCACCAAAATTTCAGAGATTATAGATATGGGTCAAACTTAGATTGTATAATGCTATAATGGAAATAAAAAAGAGGCTGTTACAGAGAAGTTCAACTGTATTTAACTCCGGTCATTATTATTTAATCGCTGACGTCATCACTTTCCTTATTATTTGACCCAAATTAGTTTCTTGTTAAATATTTTCAATTTTGCATCGCCATCCCTCAGTCTGAAGGTGAGCGGTAGCAAGTCTCAAAGTAAGAGCACGTCAGATTTATCAGAACCAGCTCCTAAAAATGGTGTTTCTATAACAAAAAGGTGAGTTGGTGCCAAAAATAAGGACTTTCACTTACAATTTTTCCTCGATACCGTTATCACAGATATATTAATTCTATATATTTTCTAGTCTGAGCTGTCTGATACAACATGTTCATTCAAGACCGTAACATTGTTATATTATAACAATATATTTTACATAAAGGTCTAGATCTAGTGGCTCTGATATTCAGATGTGCTATCAGAGGTTTTAAATTTAAGTTATCCCAAAGCAAATTCGATTAATGTGATAATATTAAAGCTTTAAAGGCACCAAAGCAACACATCATAATTAAGGGGTTCACCCTGATTTTTTCGGTGAAATTTGATTTGGAGATAGAAATTGACCAACAAACTACGGCCTGTGACCGAACTTTTGAGGAGGTTCCGGAACTCGTATATGAATTTTCATCAAGATTGGACAAAATTGACTGAAGTATGAGCCGAAAAACATATGCCCATATTTGGGCATACGCACCAAATTTGATCGATTTTGGCCTATAAATTGGTCAAATAGCAATATTTTTGAATGAAACTAACTTTATACAAAAAGTAATATTCTCTATGATTATTAGCTCAATATCTACCAAACTGTGGATTCTGTATTCAAATAATCGCACAACTTTTCGTGTTACTATAGTTAGGTACACTACTAGTTACCATAGTTACACTACTAGTTACCATTGTTACACATGCCGTGGTGTTGGTACTTGAATTTAACTTTTTTGAGTATGATCAATAACAGGATAATCAAATTTAGTTTAGCGAAGAATGAATTAAAAAGTCAGGAATGAAGGGTGAATTAGTCAGGAATGAATTGGCCGTTCTCCTGGTTCCGTTGGCATCGAATGTTAATTAAAATTGATCAATGGGAGTTGATGCTTTAGATCTTTAGCATCAAAACTTGTCTTCGTGCCAATTTTAAATCTCACTGCCTCGCCCATATTTTACAAGTACAACGCCTATTTCATGGTTTAAAGTTAAACTGTTTTACACGGCAAATAGTTAGCAATGACCACATTCATATACCACATATGAAGCAAAATATGCACTGAAATGCTTTTCAATAAACATACTAACCAAAGGCTCAATTTGAGCCTGTAGTTGCAAGTTGGTCGTAGAGAAGAACGGAGGTCATATTGAGAATTTTCTGTAGATTTATTGTTGTTTATGATCGTGTGCATATTTTAACTAAAGTTATCCTTTCGCAACAGTTATACTTATGTTTCACTATTCATTTTCCGCCAGCTGAATTCTTTAATAATTCCTAAGGCTCAGGTAGCACGCCTAAAGCATAGCATGGGGTACGTCATATCAGATTTACACAGTGAGAATTTTTAGAGTAGCCCAATTAAGGTGTCGTGTCACATAATCACCCAATAAATTTTGCTAACAAGATAAATTAAATGCTTGATAACTCATTCATTTCAAATCCGTTTCACGTCATATTTTTGATCAGATGCAACATGTAAGAATTATCTACCTAACCGTCTCTGAACAAAATTAAACGTCCTGCATGTTCAGAGAGAACAATATAGGTCTTTTAATAATGAATGGGCGTGGTCTAAAATATTCGAATTTTCGAATTATGACGACAAAATCCTCGAACCAGAAGGTACAGTATGCTATCTGCAAAGCAACAGCTCTCAAATATAAAACACGGCGGAGCTATTTAGGCTAAGCCTAAGGCCAACGTATGCGGTATGCCCAATGACGTTTGGCCCACCCTGTATTGATTCTATAATCTATAATATGTCTAGTCTGAGCTGTCTGATACAACATTTTCATTCAAGACCGTAACATTGTTATATTATAACAATATATTTTACATAAAGGTCTAGATCTAGTAGCTCTGATATTCAGATGTGCTATCAAAGGTTGTAAATTTATGTTATCCCAAAGCAATCTCGATTAATGTGATAACATAAAATACGCTATATAAGTTTTATAAATATCACGTTCTGGCAGGTATTGTCCTAGCGTTACAATACAAAACACGGCCTAGTGTCCTAGCGTTACAATACAAAACACGGCCTAGTGTCCTAGCGTTACAATGCAAAACACGGCCTAGTGTCCTAGTGTTACAATACAAAACACGGCCTAGTGTCCTAGCGTTACAATACAAAACACGGCCTAGTGTCCTAGCGTTACAATACAAAACACGGCCTAGTGTCCTAGCGTTACAATACAAAACACGGCCTAGTATCCTAGCGTTACAATACAAAACACGGCCTAGTATCCTAGCGTTACAATACAAAACACGGCCTAGTGTCCTAGCGTTACAATACAAAACACGGCCTAGTGTCCTAGCGTTACAATACAAAACACGGCCTAGTGTCCTAGCGTTACAATACAAAACACGGCCTAGTGTCCTAGCGTTACAATACAAAACACGGCCTAGTATCCTAGCGTTACAATACAAAACACGGCCTAGTGTCCTAGCGTTACAATACAAAACACGGCCTAGTATCCTAGCGTTACAATACAAAACACGGCCTAGTGTCCTAGCGTTACAATACAAAACACGGCCTAGTGTCCTAGCGTTACAATACAAAACACGGCATAGTGTCCTAGTGTTACAATACAAAACACGGCCTAGTGTCCTAGCGTTACAATACAAAACACGGCCTAGTGTCCTAGTGTTAAAATACAAAACACGGTCTAGTGTCCTAGCGTTACAATACAAAACACAGCCTAGTGTCCTAACGTTACAATACAAAACACGGCCTAGTGTCCTAGCGTTACAATACAAAACACGGCCTAGTGTCCTAGCGTTACAATACAAAACACGGCCTAGTATCCTAGCGTTACAATACAAAACACGGCCTAGTGTCCTAGCGTTACAATACAAAACACGGCCTAGTATCCTAGCGTTACAATACAAAACACGGCCTAGTGTCCTAGCGTTACAATACAAAACACGGCCTAGTGTCCTAGCGTTACAATACAAAACACGGCCTAGTGTCCTAGCGTTACAATACAAAACACGGCCTAGTGTCCTAGCGTTACAATACAAAACACAGCCTAGTGTCCTAGCGTTACAATACAAAACACGGCCTAGTGTCTTAGCGTTACAATACAAAACACGGCCTAGTGCCCTAGCGTTACAATAAAAAACACAGCCTAGTGTCCTAGCGTTACAATACAAAACACGGCCTAGTGTCCTAGCGTTACAATACAAAACACGACATAGTGTCCTAGCGTTACAATACAAAACACGGCCTAATGTCCTAGCGTTACAATACAAAACACGGCATAGTGTCCTAGCGTTACATTACAAAACACGGCCTAGTGTCCTATAGCGTTACATTACAAAACACGACATAGTGTCCTAGCGTTACAATACAAAACACGGCCTAGTGTCCTAGCGTTACAATACAAAACACGGCCTAGTGTCCTAGCGTTACATTACAAAACACAGCCTAGTGTCCTATAGCGTTACATTACAAAACACGGCCTAGTGTCCTAGCGTTACATTACAAAACACGGCCTAGTGTCCTAGCGTTACAATACAAAACACGGCCTAGTGTCCTAGCGTTACAATACAAAACACGGCCTAATGTCCTAGCGTTACAATACAAAACACGGCCTAGTGTCCTAGCGTTACAATACAAAACACGGCCTAGTGTCCTAGCGTTACAATACAAAACACGGCCTAGTATCCTAGCGTTACAATACAAAACACGGCCTAGTGTCCTAGCGTTACAATACAAAACACGGCCTAGTATCCTAGCGTTACAATACAAAACACGGCCTAGTGTCCTAGCGTTACAATACAAAACACGGCCTAGTGTCCTAGCGTTACAATACAAAACACGGCCTAATGTCCTAGCGTTACAATACAAAACACGGCCTAGTGTCCTAGCGTTACAATACAAAACACGGCCTAGTGTCCTAGTGTTACAATGCAAAACACGGCCTAGTGTCCTAGCGTTACAATACAAAACACAGCCTAGTGTCCTAACGTTACAATACAAAACACGGCCTAGTGTCCTAGCGTTACAATACAAAACACGGCCTAGTGTCCTAGCGTTACAATACAAAACACGGCCTAGTGTCCTAGCGTTACAATACAAAACACGGCCTAGTGTCCTAGCGTTACAATACAAAACACAGCCTAGTGTCCTAGCGTTACAATACAAAACACGGCCTAGTGTCTTAGCGTTACAATACAAAACACGGCCTAGAGCCCTAGCGTTACAATAAAAAACACAGCCTAGTGTCCTAGCGTTACAATACAAAACACGGCCTAGTGTCCTAGCGTTACAATACAAAACACGACATAGTGTCCTAGCGTTACAATACAAAACACGGCCTAATGTCCTAGCGTTACAATACAAAACACGGCCTAGTGTCCTAGCGTTACAATACAAAACACGGCCTAGTATCCTAGCGTTACAATACAAAACACGGCCTAGTGTCCTAGCGTTACAATACAAAACACGGCCTAGTGTCCTAGCGTTACAATGCAAAACACGGCCTAGTGTCCTAGTGTTACAATACAAAACACGGCCTAGTGTCCTAGCGTTACAATACAAAACACGGCCTAGTGTCCTAGCGTTACAATACAAAACACGGCCTAGTGTCCTAGCGTTACAATACAAAACACGGCCTAGTATCCTAGCGTTACAATACAAAACACGGCCTAGTATCCTAGCGTTACAATACAAAACACGGCCTAGTGTCCTAGTGTTACAATACAAAACACGGCCTAGTGTCCTAGCGTTACAATACAAAACACGGCCTAGTGTCCTAGCGTTACAATACAAAACACGGCCTAGTATCCTAGCGTTACAATACAAAACACGGCCTAGTATCCTAGCGTTACAATACAAAACACGGCCTAGTGTCCTAGCGTTACAATACAAAACACGGCCTAGTATCCTAGCGTTACAATACAAAACACGGCCTAGTGTCCTAGCGTTACAATACAAAACACGGCCTAGTGTCCTAGCGTTACAATACAAAACACGGCATAGTGTCCTAGCGTTACAATACAAAAC